AGTCTGGCACAACAGCTTTCTCAGCTGACCTGAGGTTACCTGTTGCTTGTCACAGTGTTGTCCCTGTCAAATAGTTGTACTCCAGAGATAGTGTCTAGATTGTAAATAAACTTTGGGAACTTGCAAAATCCTGGGCATGTGTAGTTTCCTGCACTCCTGCAGGAAATTGTGTGGATTTTGCCACTTTCCCTGTCCACAGGAGATGTGGAGCAGCAGCAAGACAATAACTCAGTTTGCAGGGCTGTGAAGTGTCTGTATTGGTAGAGCTTTCTGTGGAGCAGGCTTTGATAAGAAGGCAGTAAATTCTCATCTGCAGCTGTAGCTATAAGGTTATGGAGGCATTTGTAGCTTTTAGGGGGCCATGTAACCATCCTCTCTCTCCTGGTTGCTTTGTTTGTTTATCCTCCAGAGGAGAGCCAGGGTTATTTTGAAAATGAGCTAAACTCAGTCTTGCTCTGGGATTTCTGTGGTTGCCAGTTCTCACAGTTCAGCAGGGCTTTCTGTTACAGTCTGAGGTGATGCTCAGGGAGTTGCTGGAAGATGCAGAGAGGACTGCATTCCTCCCATTCACCTTCAATATCTCTTTTTTTTTTCCTCTTTTCATTTTTTTCCCCCACAGTCATCCTCCAGAAGTTAACAGGACTCCAACAAATCACTGAAGGGGAGAATCAAGTTCCCCAGATCTTGCTGAGATAAGAACTGGAAGTGCCTGGCTCTTGTTGTATGAGAGGACCTTTTGATTCCTATCAATTGCTCTAGCTGGAAGGACTGAAAACTGTTTTGTTTCTGTTCTAGGTTAATGGAGACAGCAAAAGAAATGACCAGGGAGTCCTTACCTATCAAATGCCTTGAAGCAGTTATCCTGGGGATGTATCCTTTCACATGGCTGTGACTTGTTCCACTGCAGCTCTGTTGAATACATTGCCCCTCACAGATGGTGTTTGAGAGGGTCACAGCCAAAGGTGAGTGCCAGCAGCCTGGGGAGCTGCCCTGTATTCATCACCAAGGTGCTGAGGTGCCTGGGCTTGTAGGTGGGAGCTGGGATGCTGTGTGCCAGGTCACAAGTGTTGTGATTCAGCCATGCAGACTTCGCCTCCTGCCCTGGTCATCTGCATAATGTCAGGATCTGACCCAAAGTGCCCAAGTAAGTACCTTTCTACACAATCCTTGTTTTCTTTGTTAGCATTTCTCTGTTGGCTGCTGTTGGAGCTTGGTGACACCCAAGGAGGTGGGTTCTGTTCTGTGTTTTTCTGATGTTTACGTGGCCCAGTCGGGTTAGCTTTTGTCTCTGAGCCCACAGCTGTGCTTTGTGCAGAAACATGTGTTACAGTTAAACATTTCAGCTTCCCCTTAACATAATGCTTGCTTCCTACTCAATCTTCAGTCACTTAGACACTGACTTGCTTCTCTTCCCGCTGGTGCTGTCACTGATAAATCAACCTGCACCAACCTGAAACACTGGAGGAGGGCAAGGCAGGGCTGCAGGAAGAGGTTGTCAGACACATCTTGTCAGAAATGATCAAGTTTCACTTAAAACAAATCCCAACTAAAAATAAGCCCCGGAGCAAACCCTCTCCTGGGATGTCTCTGCAGCGTTTTGCTGGCGGCTGCTGCCCCCTCCCGTGGGAGAGGGAGCTGGCAGAGCCTGGCAGGTAGTGCCTGTGACAATCCATGGCTGCTGGGGGGTGGGAAGGGGATGGGCTGAGCAGTGTGTGCCAGGGATAGGCCTCGGACTGGAGTCTGAGAGGTGGCTCTGGCTGACAGGGTTTCCCCTGGGAATGCTGACAGGCTCTGCATGAGCTGCAGGGATTGGGGTTCTAAGGGCTTGATGTCAACAGGATACTCAAACCCCCCTCCAGAAGGAAAAATCATAGAATCGTAGAATATCCTGAGTTGGAAGGGATCCACAAGAACCATCAAAGTTCATGCCCTGTGTTGTCCAAATGCTTGTTGAACTCTGTCAGGCTCCCTGGTGCTGTGACCACTGCCCTGGGGAGCCTGTTCCAGTGCCCAGCTATCCTCTGGGTGAAGAACCCTTTCCTAATATCCAACCTAAACCTTCCTGACACAGCTCCAGGCCATTCCCTCAAGTCCTGTCACCAGGCACCACAGGGCAGAGATCAGTGCCTGCCCCTCCTCTTCCCTTCAGGAGGAAGTTTTGACTGTAATGAGGTCTCCCCTCAGTCTCCTCCAAGCTGAACAAGCCAGGTGACCTCAGCTACACTTTGTATGGCTCCCCCTCAAGGACAATCTTCATTGCTCCCTTTGGGATGCTCTCTAATAGATTTTTATCCTTTTTATATTGTGGACACAGAACTGCCCCCAGCACTTGAGGTGAGGCTGTCCCGGTGCATAGCAGAGCAGGACAATCCCCTCCCTTGCCTGGCTGACAATGCTGCCTGTACCTGATGTCCCCCAGGACGTGGTTGGTCCTGCTGGCTGCCAGGACACTGCTAACTCGTGTTCCCTGTCTGTGGTGCTGCCCTCCAGCCTCTCATTCCCAGTCTATTCACACAACTGGGTGTGCCCTGTCCCAGATGCAGAATCTGGCTCTTCCTTTGTTAAACTTCCTAAATTGGTGATCACCCAGTTTCCCAATTTGTTAGGGTCTGTCTGCAGGGCCTCTCTGCACTTGAGGGAGTCAGCAGTTCCTCTTAATTTTGTGTCATCAGCAAACTTACTAAGCATATCTTTGAGTCTTGCATCCAAGTAATTTGTGAAGATGTTGAACCAACCTTAAAATGGAGCGCTGTGGAAGCCCAGCCTGGTGTAACCCCATTTGCTGTAATCCTTCATGTCTGAGCCATGAGCTTGTTGCTCACCCCTTATGTTCTGTATTTCTCTAGCTGTATGCTGGATGTTTTGTCCAGGAGAATACTGGGAATAACAGTATTGAAAGCTGTCCTGAAGCCCAAAAAGTTTACATTAACTGATTTCCTTTGATGTGATGGCAGTGGATCTGTTATACTTACCCTTGTGTCATGGCTGTGTCCCAAACCATTTGAGGATGAAAGGAATGGAGGGAAATAATCCCCAGGTGGAGTTGATGCCCCTCTGCAGTGTCAGTGTGGCTTGCAGTGCTGTATTTCTAGCAGTGAACTGATTATTCTACATATCACGGGAGCAAAGGGTGATTAGTGGCCTATGGATAACCGTAATAACCTGAAAGTGTCAAAGTGTCCTTCCTGGTTTTTTTTTACTTGCCTCAAACCTGACTTGTGGGTTCAGTTTGGTGGTTTTGTTTTTTTTTTTTTTGAGAAGTGAAGGAAGCAATATAGTGAAAGCTATATTTTATACTATTTGTTGTCATTTGAAGTTTCTTGAGAGTTAAGATGTGTATGAAATTTTCTGTCTCTAATTAAGAAAACCTAAACTTAGGGCAAACTTTTTTTTTTTTTTTAAATTGAGAAGGTTTAGCCAGGGGAGTGTATGGGACAGGCTTCTGCATCCAGTCTTGGAAGTCTCTGTCTGAGAACAGGGACTGTCTGCTGGCTTGTGGTCCAGTAACAGATATATTTAGGTTTAGAAAATTCATGCACTATAAATTCCAGGTATTTTGCTTGAGGTGTGGGTACACAAGGAGTGTAGCAATGATGAATGGATGGGCACCTGAATCTGCATGTCTGGGAAGTGGCTGGTACTGAGCCTGGGCCACTGTGGAACCTCGTAGTGCTGTGATGCATGTGCAGCATGAGGGGTTTTGGGAGGCATCTTTGGCATGACATGTGGGGAAGTTTGCTGTTTTTTGGCTGCCATGAGATTTTGAGCTTCAGAATTGCCCTCTGCAGTGTCTGGATGCAGGCGTGGTGAGGCCAGCAGCGTTCCAAGGTCAGGTGAAGATGTGCTTACCCCCTCCTGAGTTTCCAGCCAGTGTCTTCACACAGGCCTGAGCTGAGCCCTGTGTATGTGTGTGTTAACCTCTGTTTCCATTCCATCTATCTGGAAATAAGGTGCTGCTGTAATTTGTGTGCTGGTAGAGTGTTGCTTGGATACTGGAAAAGCACAGCCTGCTGCAGCAGACCCTCAGTGTGAGCCTTCCTTCAAAGGCAGCTCGCGCAGAGCAGCTTAGCGAGATGCCATTTTAATTGAACTGCTTGCTGGCTTGTACAATTACCTTTTACTCTGTGACTTCTTATAAAATGCTTCTATAATCCCTCTTGGTGCAGAATTAAGTTTTGCATAATTCCCATGCACTTGATCTTGGAGCCTTTTTATAGGGCAGTGAGGAAAGTACTGAGCTACCCTGCCTGCACACACCAAGGAAGCAGCTGCTCTGAGATGACCGAAAGCTCAAGCAGATCTTCCAGTATTATTTTGTAGCAGTCTGCACAGCTCGTTTTCTCTGTGTAGCTGTCTGAACTGGCTTCATATCTCTCTGCTTACATGATCTGCTTGTCAGTGCCTAACCAGAAGCATTCCTCCTGCTGTCTTCCCCAGGGCATTTCTCAGTTCAGTTGTAAATCAGCTGAGTAATGGTGCGTTCAGCCCACTCTTTCTGAGCAAAGATCCAATTGATTTGAGCTCATGAAAGGGAATAGTAAACGAGAAAGTGCCAAGGGAATTTATCTGTGCTGCATTCAATTTATTAAAACGTGGAGAGCAAATATCAAAGGGGGAGAGGGAAGCTGCGCACTGCATCCCTCCTCGAGGAGTCTTGCAGAGCGCGTCCGCGTTGGCTGAGCATAAATCACATAAATTGCTCCCATTGCCTTCAGCATCCTTCTCCCAGTTCATGTGAGGTAACGCTTGGACCCACACAGGGTATTAGAGCCCCTGGCCAATAATATCATTAAAAAAGAAGAGAAGAGCAAAAGTGTCTCAGGAGGGATAAATTATTCAGCAGCTGCTGCACTGTTCCTACTGTGTATGCAATCTGTGGATGATGTTTATCACCAGTGGAGACCTGGGTCCATCCATCTCCTCCAGGCCAGCAGATACATCCCTGAGCTGGAAGTGAGTGTTTTCAGTAAGGGGGGAGAGTTTCTTGCAGTCATTGCAGGATACTGATGTCTGTGTAGTGCTCCTCTTTACCCTCCTACCTGCTTGTCTACAACTTGACCCACCTGCTAACTGAAATATGGGAAAGGAAGATGGTGCTGGACGTCCACAGCCCCTGTGGTGGCTGTGAAGAGCTGAGAGAGAGCTTTTAATTACTTACATTGTCATGGTCTAATCTTTAGATAGTCCCACCTCTCACTGTAGCTGGGCGCTGGAGAGTAGGTTTCTCAATCTAAGGGATGCTACCCTGGCAGTCCTGCTTTGGGAAGCTGAACCAGCTGCGTGAGCCTTTCCTATATGGACCCTGGAGCTGCCAGGAGGAACTCTGAGCCCTCTGTGTAGACAACATCCAGATGTGGGCTCGGTAACACTCTGCCTCACAGTAAGCAATCCCAAGCCCATGGGAAATGCTATCTGACTCCAGCTGGAAACCTCTCCAAGTGTTTATTGCTCGTGGTTGGGGCCCTCTGAGCAGTTGCTTGGAAAACCAACTCTTCTGGTTTTACTGAAGCCTTATTGATGGTTTTATTTTCCTCCTGCTCCACATGCTGCTCTGTGCATTGCTGATGTAACTAGAGCTGCTTTCCTGCTCCCCAGCCTGATGTCATCCCACCAGCTCACTGCTGCTCAGTGGCACTTGTTCATGGCCCCAGCCCGTGGGAGTGGTAGGAGAGGAGAGAACCAGACAATCTGTAGTTTCCTGTGCTCATCTTGACCAGACTTCTGTAAAACACCCTTGCTGGGCTCTTAGGACATGAAGCACTGCCCCTTTTTGGGTGTGGATTCCAGCACTTGCTCTTGTTAAATTTCATGTGGTTGGTGTTGCCTGTCCAATTTGTTGAGGTCTCTCTGCAGTGACTCTCTGCCCTTGAAGGAGTCAACAGCTCTTAGTTTGGTGCTGTCCCCAGATTTTCTCTGAGTTCTGTGTCCATGTTATAATGAAGATGTTGAAGAGACCTGGGCTGAGGATGGAGCCCTGCAGAGTCCCTCTAGTGACTGGCTAGATCTGGGCTGCTGTTACCAATTCGCAAGGACTCTCTTATGTCTGACCTGTGAGCTTCTTGTGCTTCAGTTTCTGCCTGGTGCCTCTTGTCCCTGTTGGTTGGCACCACTGGGAAGAGCCCAGCTCCATCATTGTGACTGCCATAAAGACCCAGGATTAGGAGGCCACTGAGCTTTGCTGCAGCTGCTTTTGCCCTCTCCTGCTCTGCGCTGCTTCTCTTTTGTGACATGTAATTCACTCCCTGACTCTCCATCCTGCAGTTACAGTCCCAGCTCACAGAAGTGTGATTACAGCTGCAGCATTGCTGTGTGCTTGCCTTTTGTTTGCCACAATACAGCTCTCCTTGGGCAGAGCAGAAAGGAAAGCTGTAATAATGATGCATGGACAGAGGGGAAGATCTGATGTGCCTTTCCAGCCCATTTGCTGTGTATTTCATCTCGGGTGGGGACTCTCATTAACAAGTCCCTCAGCAGAAGCAACCTGTACCTAAAGGTTAATTTCCACAGCAGTTGTTGCTGGGTTATTTGATGGTGGGTAATTTCTGTTGTCAAAAGATTCTTTTACTCCTACTAAGTATTTAATGAGATTAAATTGCAACTTCTCTGAGCCCTTGTGGCAGAAGTGTGTATGTGAGGCGGGTGGCCACCAAAGCTTTGTATGGACTTAACAGAAAGGCACTTGGGGAGCAGAGTGAAAACCCTTTCATAATGAGGGGGAAAAATAGTGGTGATGTTTGAAAGCTTCATAGGTGTTAATAAAAGGTAGTGCTTTTTCAGTTACACAGAATGATAAATACAATGGGCTTTTGCAGGAATCGGTCTGTAGGACAAAAATTATTGTAACATGACTTTGATGTACACAGGATGCACCTTTTAAAGTCCAAAGCAAGGTGACCTTTTAAATGAGGTGAGTGTGTGCTGAGTTTTCCAGTTGACATAATGGCGCTGGGCCCCATTCTGCCCTTGCAGTGTATTTATAATCTTTAATTATAAATCATCTACTGATGATGGGGTGGAGCTATTTTTCTTGGAGAAGCTAGTCCTAAGGCAGCAGCGATCCAGTGAGACCATTTAAAGCAAACAGAGCTGTTCCTGTTCTGGTAGGTGATGTCGGGGTGGGCTTTGATGCTGCAGGGTGTCTGTGTTTGATGGCAGTGGGGCAGGAGTGGGTGCACATAGCCTTGGCTGGGTGACAGATGTGTGTGGCAGGGAGGTCTGTGCTCTGCTGTGCTCTGTGCACAGTCTTCCAGACCCATGGTCATATAGCCAGTGAAGTGCACAGTGAGCTGAGCCCACAGTTTTGTCTGTTCTTTTACCCTCTAATACATTTTCTCCAGGCTGCTAAAGCTGATGACATCTAGCACTGAATACAGCTAAACATGTTTGACATGGAACTGAAAAGCTTCCCTGTGGCTGTTCTGAAAGTTCTGTGTCAATGTGTTTTTCTTGCCTGTTTTTTTTTCCCTTTGTTTGTGAAACTCCTTGCTCTTGACTTGATATTCTGGGCAGTTCATGGACCTCTTATTAGTTGGTTCCTGCATTTACCCAGAAGCCAAAAGTTTGAATTTGTGAAATTCAACAAACATTGGGTGAAATATCCCCCTGAAAAAAATGGTTTAGAGAGACGTAAGAGCCACTGGATGCTTTTCATGCAACCCTATAGAATGAAGAGGTGAAATGTGGGGTGCAGGCAGGGGTCAGCATCCCAGGGAATCACACTGGTGGTGAGGTGGTGGCTTGTCAAGCTGGGCAGAACCAGAATGGAGCCCAAATTGTGTTTTACAGTCTTGATACAAAGGCTTTTTTGTGCTCTCAGTTTCTCAGCAGCTGTCAGGCAGCCGTGTTATGCAGGCAGGAGAGGAAGGCTGGTCACAATAACATCCCAGGATATCTCAGCTGTGTGGTGGCTCTTGTTTCACTGCTGTTAAATAGCTCCTTTCTGGCCAAGAGATAGGGAGAAGAGGGAATGTGGGCGATGGCCAGAGCAGAATCCTGGACAAAGCAGGTTCCTGCAGTTTCAGTGGGAACAGAGCCCACTCCTCCATCTGTCAGGATGCCCCAGCACTATCCTGGCAGTGCTGCCTTTGGTGTATTTTGTAGTGGCAGCACCATGACCAGCTGACTCAAGGGATGGCTCCAAGGTTACAGCAGGTGCCTCTGGCTGGAGTATCCCCAGGCTGGAGCACTTTGCTGCAGCCTTTTCTGGTCATCCCTCCTCCATCCCCCAGGCGTGGGTGGGGGCCTCAGCTGCAAAGGGAAAGGGCACCTGCTGTCCCAGGGGCTGGGTGCCAGCACGTGAAGCCAGGGTGAGTTTCAGCTGTCCCAGGATTAGCAGCAGGGAGCTGTGTGCAGCGTAGGTGCTGACGCAAAGCTGCTTGTGTGAGGGATTCTCAGCCTGTCCTTTCCCTGGCACGGGCCAGCAGCCTCCCAAGGAGGTGACCTGCACGTAGCTCCACTCTGAGATCACACACTACACTGGCACGGAGCTTGGTCCTGGCCTCTGCACGTGGTGCCTTTGAAATCTCCAGTCAGTAATTCCAGGGTTTACTTTTTAAGAATATTGTTTCTGACCATGCCTCTGTGCTTACCTAATTAATTATTCATCTTGGACCTTTCCTTTGGTTCCTCTCAGCAACATGTTACAAGGGTAACATGCTAAAACACTCTGTATGAGGAGTGGCAATGTCAAAGGCCAGTTTACAGAAGGAAAGGCAGACTGTCACCTTGGCGAGGAATAAATCCAAATTCCTTGGTACTATTTGAAGACATGAGAAAATGAGGCTCATTAAACTTAAATCAAACCCTAAAGAAAAGGAGGTAAACACTATTTTCTTTGGAAGTGTGGGAGTTTGATGTAGATATCAAATGGGGAACTTCCACAGATCTGAGGAGGGTGGTCTCTCTTTGCATGTGCTGACCTGAACAGTGTTGTGGTTTTTATCTTTTCCCTAAGTGTCATTAAGAGTAATGCCCTTCCCCATTGGAACCATTGCATCTTATTTTCCAAGCAGCGAAACGGGCTTTGGCAGCACTGGCTGTATCTGGGCACAGAGGTGAATGTGAGATGAATGAATTCTCACAGTGAGAATAAGTTTGTGTTTACAGTAAAGCCCTTTGGGGGAATTAGAAACCCCAAACCTGCTGCAGATGTCTCCCAGGTGTAATTGTACCTGCTGCTTTCCCAGCACCGTTGTTGCCTTGATGCAGTACACCCCAGCTACTTAACAAATGGGCAGCCCTCCGTGGAACGATTCCCCATCAGCTTTAAAACCCATTTCTCAGGGAACTATTTTCATCACGTGGTGCTTGGGATTTACTGCAACGGCCGCTACGGCTCGCTGGGCATGAGCAGGCGATCGGATCTGATGGACAAACCTCTCACTTACCGAACTCTGAGCGACCTCGTCTTCGAATTTGAAGACTCCTATAAAAAGTACTTGCATTCAGTCAAAAAAGTCAAAATTGGATTGTACGTCCCGCACGAGCCGCACAGCTTCCAGCCCATCGAGTGGAAACAGCTGGTCCTCAATGTGTCCAAAATGATGCGCACAGAAGTCAGAAAGGAGCTGGAGAAGTTTGCCAGGGATATGAGGATGAAGGTAGGTCTGTGCACCTGGGTGTTGGGCTCAGGAAGGAGGCAGTTGTGCCTTGTCCCATCCTGCAGAGATGTGTCTTGCTGTGTGTCAGCCTGAGATCTTGCAGGTCTCAGGTGTGCTGGGTGGGTGCTTGCATTTCTGTCAGTGCTGTTTCTGCAGGACTTGGTGTGCTTTCAAGCTTTTACAGTTATTTAGTTGAAGGATCTCCCCTTTAGCCTGGGAAACACTTGAGCCCAAACTTTTCCATGGCTATCAGGGAGGTATTGCCCAGTTTGCTTTCCTTAATGAAGAAGGTGATTGGGAAGAATCAGCATGGCTGGGACTGGAACTGTTGGGAAGAGTGGCCTGGTTGCAGGAGGGGTCTGTGTTTTTCACCTGAGGTGCAGGAGGTGCCATGGGACATCAGTGTCAGTGGTTTTATCTCCTTGCAGGACATGCCAGGGGGCTCATGTCTACTGCCCTCAGCTAAATCACAGAGTAGGTTATGTAGGAAAGGTGAGTAAAGCGACTCCCTGACCGACTTCCCTGCTGGCTGGTTGGACTGAAGATCTCATTGGGAAACAGTGGGGAGACAGGGCAGGCTGCCAGGGACCTGAAGGGTTTGGCTGCCCTTGGGGATAAGGGGTGTCCCTGACCGTGCCTCTGAGCCTGGCATGGGTGAGGAGCTGTTTGTGGTCATGGTGAAAGCAGATGTGGTGCCTGTCCAGCTGGCTGTCAGCAGCAAAAGCAGAGCAGGTGTGTTGCTAAGTATGGGTCTGGCTCTTGTGGAGAGGTATGTGGTATCGTGTCCAAGTTATTCTGGGTTCTCGTCCCCTTCCCTGCTAAAGGACGGCTCCTACGTAGCAGCCACGTGCCTTTTTGGCTGAGGCACCTGCCCCCTTGCCCTGACCTTGGGGTGAGCCTTGCCAGTGGCATCATAGCCCCTGTGTTCTGCTGCCATCTCTCCTGCCCTGCCAAGGTGTTTTGAGGGCCACCTTGTACCATGCTATCACCTTAAGAATATGGGCTTGATGTAATGAAGTTTGGGTTTTTTCCTTCTTCTTTATTCATGCACTTTTAATACTGTCCAGAGAGCAAACAGCTGAAGCAGGCTCGAGTTGAAGAAGTTTATATGGGTGGATGACTTACTGAATTTTGTACTTGTTTTTGATAGAGGGACCAGCTCTCTGTGTGCACTGAGCTGTGACACTGGGTCTTACCCTGCTGAGTGCCTCAGGGCCAGGACCACAGCCCTGAACCCTTGAAGGCTGAAGGCCCAGCATCTGATCTTTCCCTTGAGTTACTACAGAAGTCAGAGGGCTTGCATTGAGTGTTGAGTTTAGAGGATCAGGTCTTTAAAGCAGTTGGGAGTGTGAGTGTAATGCTGATGGCTCTCTGATGCTGGAGGCCTGGAGGATGGGGGCAGGTTGCAGACCTGCTGAAAAACCTCACTGTCAGAGTTCAGCTGCCAGCCTGAGAGATGGTCACTCCTGTTTGTTGAGATAAAAGCTGGAGAGGGTGATTTGGCTGCCTGAGTTTTTCAGCTGAGGCTCAAAGCCATTTTTCTTATCTCTTGCTGTTGCCAGCTCTGAAGAAAGCCGTAGATGAGACAGCATTCAGCTGGGAACTGAACTGGTGACATCAACTAATTCTTACAGGGAGCCCCTGAACAGCTATCACATGATAACAGCTTTGAGCTTCTCTTAACCTGGGCAGGGTTTGAATAAGCCCCAAGGGACTGAAGGCTCTTTGTGTGCCATCCCTGCTACTGTATGAGGCCCTTTATTTTAAATTTTTATTTGCAGTTGAATCATTGCCTTTATTGCCACTTCCTTCCCTCCCCCATCTCTCACAGATTCTGAAACCCTCAAGTGCCCATTCTCCGATGAAGGAGAGACCCCGGGGTAAGTCGCTGTCCCCTCGCCGGAGGCAAGGCAGCCCTCAGAGACGGGCCTGCAGGAGGGATAAATCGTGAGTATTCCTGCCACCATCCCTGCTGGGGCAGAAGGGGAGGCTGGTGGTGTCCCTTTGCTGTACAAAACTTCCGTGCTCACTGGCACGTACAGGAAAACTGCACCAGGTGCCTTTGTTACCACAGAGGCTCCAGAAGCTGCTGGCACTGCTGCTGGTGTCCTGGCATTGCTGTGCTTCCTGCTGCCTAATGGCCCCTCTGTGCAGGGTTCTTGCACTGAACAGCTTACAGAGACAGGGGAAAAGTCAACTTGTCTTTCCAAAGTGACAACATCACTTGAATTGTATTCTTTGATTTTAATCAGCTTATAAAAAACCCAGGCTGCTTTCCATGTGTGTCATAGCTAAGAGTTGTTCTTCAGCTGTGTGGGGAAGGATGGATGCAATACCTCTAAATGGATAAAACTGTGCTTCCAGATCCACAGGCCTTTTACAGCCACTGACAATTCAGACTCCCCTACCTTAGATGTGGAAGAGTTGAGTTCTAGCTGTAGTGCTCCATGCCAGGAAGCTGACAACTGTGAAAGCCTATACGTAACCCAGATTAGTCAGATATTTATGATCATTGCTTTTTAAATAGGCTCCCAGACTACTGTCTCAGCACTTATTTTTTTATTTTAAACCAGCTAACAAAGACATTAGACTAACATTCTAAAGATAACTTCGGGATACATTAGCATCAGATGATTTCACAGCAAGCTTTTATTTTTACATATTCATTTACACTCAGTCCATGATGCTGTTCTTTGGGCTTTGTCACTGAGAGCTCCTTGTTTAGTGCATAGATAATTATAGTTGTAATGGGTTCAGCTGCTTCAGGCTTCTTCACCTCCTAGATTCTCTTTGAGGAGCAGTTTCATTTTTGAGTTTCTGATAGTGCTTCTGCAGTTGCTGGAGAGCATCAAGTATTTCTGGAGAGGATTGAGTGTCACTGGACTTGGAGACTCTCCAGTTGAGGTGACTTCCTGAAAAAGCTACTGGGCATGTGGCTGCTCTGCAGTGACTGATCTCTCCTTGGCAGCTTTGAAGACAGGGAATGTACAGGTGGCCTTACAGTGGCTTCAGCACCTGTAACCTGCTCAGTAGTTCTGCTCTGTTGCTCTGTATCAAGAGCAAATTCTATGTAACTCTAAAATAAACCCTGGGTCACCCTGATAGAAGATGCAGGACCCAGACACAGTGTGATGGGCTGTGAGCCTTGAAGGGGGAATGGCATCCCCAGGTCAGGGATGAGCTGAATGACACATCCCGGCACATGCAGCGGTTGACATAAGGCAAGAAATAAAAGAGGAGAGATGGGGTATTCTCTTCTCCATATTGGTGGACCTCCGAGAACCTGGAGTGAGAGGCCTTTGTGTTACACACAGAACAGGAAAGAGTCAGGTTTGCTAGGCTTTAGGCTGGAATCCAAGCAAAAGAATGGCTGTGCTTATCAACATTGTTATGTTTCTTTGTGCATCTCTTACGTGCTGTAATTACAGCTTTCTTGAGCTTTCTGGGGAGGGGGAGAGAAGTATTCTGCTCTAGTGTGAGCTGGCGGGGCAGAATAATACATTCATTTGAAAGGCTTCACCTGCTGTTGACAAGCTGTTATTACAGCCTGGGTTTTGTCAACAGTAAAATTATATGGGTCTGCTGGGAGAAATCTCCCACTGAAGGATATATGGAGGGGTGAACTAGAGTGTCTTGGTTGGATTGTTTCTGAAGGACAAAGGCTGAAACTGTGCTTAAGGATGGAAGAGGATTTCACAGCCACAAACATTTAACTTCTCATCCTTGGCCCTTCAACTTTATTAGGTAGATGTTAGTGGTAGCTGCCAGCAGGCCCACGATAGCCATTCAGCCTGGAAATGCAGCTGCAAGGCAGGTGGGGCACATTGCAGGACAGGAGGCAGTGCAATACCCAGTGCATGCCTGCCTAGGAGGCTGGTGTGTAGTCAAATTGCAGCCTGTTAACTGAGCTGTGCAGCAGTCCTTGTGCCCTTAGCCCACAGTTGGTGTGATCTGGCATGAGTACAGAGGCTATAGATAGGGTGGTGTCAGTCTTAAGTCTGAAGCTTTACTGTGTCCACTTGCCCATCCTCTGAAGTCCCAAAGCAGAAGGGTGCAGTAAATTGCAGATCTGGGCTGGAACACACAATGCAGTGTTTCATCCTCACTAGGAGTTCTTGGAGCTGGAGGGCTTTGGGAGAGTTGCTATGAGTTTGGAAGGGAGGGACATGCAGTAGCCTGGAGAATCTCTGCTCCTAAATGTCAGCTCAGCAGATGTATTTCCTTTCAGTTTCATGTTGAGCCTTAACAGGCATGCTCTGTGAATGGCATGGCAACATTGGCATTGTGTGCTTGTAGCCCAGTGTAGCTGTTGAAAGGGAAATTCTGCTAGTCTGTTTTATCAGGGTGTGCAAGGGGGAAGAATTACATTAGCATGTGTAACATCAGGCAGCTCATGAATCCTGTGTGCCCAGCAGCTGGGCACAGTTTCCTCAACTGCTCAGGGTGCTTTGGACAGGAGGTGTGATCTGATGGGCCAGTAAAGCCCATCAGGCCCCTCGCCTGAGAGGACACGTTTGGCATAAAGTTATTTGCCAGCTGAGGAGAATGGGATCTGTGGTGCCTCTGGTCCGAGTCTTCTCTTTTCCTGAAACTTACAGAGGACAGCCTGTTTGTGGCTAAAAGCTGCAGACAATTGTGGATGGTGGAAATGGGAATGTCATCATGGCTGTACAGTGACTCCCCATCTCTTCTGGGTAATCAGAGAAGGTGCTACCATCCAGGCATGCTTTAATTAAAACCATATTGTGATCTTAATTAAAGGGGAAAGAGAAAAATGTGTGAATAAGATCCCTAAATTGGAGAGAAGGGGGAAGGAAGGACACTGGAAATTTCATACAGTGCATCTCTTGCTGGTCTCTGACTCCTACACAAGATCTGAGGGATGCAGCTTGTAGCTTGTTTACTGGTTAGTCAAATCCCATCTGCTCTGAAGGAATAATGTGGAAAAATGCAAACTATCTTACAGTGATTTCTTTAAGCGTGATCCTTTCCTGCAAGTGAGAGACCAGAAGACTCCTTCACTTCTGTCAACTACTTAAACTGGGACAAACAAGAGGCATGGTGCAGGGCAGTACTGCAGTAAGGATGGTGAGGTTATTGTGAGAGGTGATTAGATAAATGGCAAAGCAACAGGTTTCATTCAATGTGCTGCTAGGCAGAAGAGCATTAGCTGTTCATAGCAATGTCCCCAACTCTCAAATGCTGTGCAGATTCTCAGCAGAGATCTGGTGTTAGCAGTTCTGCTCTTAAAAACAAAGAAATCCTTATTGAATTGAGGAATTAAAAAATACTTCAGAGGCTCTGTTGTACACATGCATGTGTGAGCTATACATATACCCCCAGTTCTTGGGGCTGCAGCAGTACAGCTCTTCCCTGGTGTGTGCCCCAGCAGTGTGCCACAGGCAGGGCTGGGCTTTCCCTGGTTTCCAGCCTGCCTGTGACACTGCTGCCTCTCCTGGGACCTGCTGCCTGCCCTGAGCTGCTCCAGCGGGAATGGGCTGGCAGCCTGCAGCAGGGAGATAAGTACCAGCCTGGCTGTGCAAACTCAGGGGTCACATCTGCTGTGTAGTGAGCAAAGAGCAAATACACAGAGCTGGAAACTAGGCCTGAGGAGCTGAAAGCACTGGAGCCATGGTCAGCCTCCCATTGTACTGCTGGGGCTTTGGCTGTGTTTCTGCAGGGCAAGCAGACGTGCTACAGAGTACTAGAGAAATGTGTGCTTTCAACAATGTCTGTCTTCAGAAAAGCAAACAGATGGCTTAGTGTGAAAGCAGCCAAGAGCCTGCAATAAATGCTCAGATTAGACACTTCCAGACTATAAATGAGCTGGATAGTTTTGTTTTGACAACTTTGTTGGAGAAGCTTTTCCATTGCTTGCTATAAAGAGAGAGACTGATAACTCAAGGTTTCCTTTGGTTCAGGCTGTTGGAATACCTAAATGGCCTAACAGAATCCATGTATGTGTGATTGCTCAGGTGAATGGTATCAGAAAGTTGGATGCCAAGAGGCTGAAGGGAGTCCACCCTATGTTTTCTGTTTGGGCTCCAGCCCTTCACACAAGCCCAGCCCAGAGGAGGGGGCAGGCTGGGGGAGAGCCAACATGCAGTGGCCATTTGAGAGCCCTGCTTGTTTGCTCTTTCAGCTTTGTTCTAAAAGCTGGAGTCCTGCTCCTGGGTTGATGACAGGTGGGGTGTGCTTAGTCTTAGCTACTCATTTAGGCCTTCTCTCAAGTCAGGAGGAGGGGGTGCTTCAGGCTCACATCCTGGCTCCCAGCATGGAACAGCTTGTCCTTCACTGGTGCGTGGCCTCGGAGGCAATGCACAGATAACTCTATCACAGTAGTTACCGCAGCAGATTCACCAGGACTGCGTTTAAGATGACGACCGTAGCTCTATCCAGCCCTCCTCTGAGGCAAGCTTTTCCCTGTGTGGCTGCTGTGCTCTCCACACCTGCACGGTCAGCAGATGCCCTCTTCCCTCCCCTGTGCGCAGGCCGGCCGTGCTGGACAAGAAAGGAGACCTGGCTACACTCAACGAGGTGGGCTACCAGCTCCGCATCTGACACAGCCACCCCCGGACTCCAGAGGGCTTCCCGCTGCTGCCGCTGCACTTTACCTGCACTCCCTCGGAAGGAAAAAGGAATGGGACTATTTTTTAACTTATGTACTCTCACAATAAAAGTCTGACTTAGAAAATAGGGGGTAATTTTATTTTGGTGGCAGTATTTATTTCAATTTATAGAAAAGGCATCAGTGAGGAGAATCTAAAATTAGATTTGCCAGGATATGTGATTTTTTTTATTCTCTCCCATCATGTAGCAGGTGACTCAGTGGTGTGAGTTTCTTCAAATTTCCCTGTACCAGCGTTAACTGAACTTGGCCTTGTGCTGGGTGGTTGCATTGGAATAACTAACAAATCATATTCTTAATATTAAGATGTGCTGGGATGCAGTGCAATTAAAAAAAAATAATTTTCACTATAAATCTTTAATTCAGCAATAAAAGCAAGCAGTGAAGAAGTGGCATAAGTTTTTAAAGTATCAATATTACCTCACTAGACTTAATAGATATGCAAAACTGTCAGTATTATTGTTTTCTAACCAATTTGTACTGTTTCCCAGCATTACTGGGAGTATTAAAACAGCACTGGATGTTTTACTGCCACCTGTATTATTATTTTCTGCATGTTGCTGAAAGATGTTAAGCAATAGTAATATGCAACTCTATTCTTAACACTGACATCTTGTTAGGCAAGTTATGAGGTTTGAGGTTTTTTTAAATGAGAATTGATGAATAATGAATTTTTAAACTTTCATAATTTTTTATACTTTTGTCACAAGCTTTTAGTCTTTCTGAACTACACTGCTGAAGCACAAAACGTAGAGATTGCTGTTTTGTAGAGACAAGTCGGCTTTTTTCTCATATATGTAGTACCTGGAATAATGGAAGAACTGTGGGAATTGCTAACCTGAGACTATGTGGTTTTCTCTCCACATTTATGTGCAAATTTGAACTTTGTCTTTGAAAGTCTGAGCAGCCTCTGATGGTGATGCCTTGACACCTTGTATTAAATTAGGCATAGCAGGCTGAAGTTAAACCTTCTGCTGTGCCATGCAGGGAGTTTTCCTGCCTGTGTTGTAGTAACAACTGCTTAGTTGGACTTGAATAAGGAAGTATGACTGAAAGAGATGAAAATCAAGCTTGTCTGCTTCCTCCCTGCTCAGTTGTTTTGTTGTAAGCCTTGGCTAAGGACCTGTGATGGCCAGCAGTGTTCTCAAGTGCCGTGGTTAAGACTCGCTGGGGCCCACCATTTGACTTAGTGAAGTTCTCTGGAAGCATTTGAGTGCTGCATTCCTGGAAATGTTTCATTAGGTGCCTAAATATAAACTGGATTATTGTACATGTCCAGCTTCTACCCTTTGTGCTGTGCTCATAGATGATGCTGCCATGGGCCTGGTGTACCTCCCCTCCTGGGCACTTAATTTTTTGGGATCTTGATGAAGATGGATGCTGTTACAGACTGACAGTAATGCTTATTCAAATGGAATGATGCAAGCTCCTAGAACACTTCCATCAGCCAGAAAATTAATGAATACAGAAGGAAAGAATTGCTTGTTCACAGACCTTATTGCTCAAAAAAATGAATTTCACCTGCCTAGGACAGGAAGAAAAATCCAAGACCCAGCAACCTTCTACAGCCAATTAAAGGCTTCCCACTAATTAAGACTTCAGAAGCTCTAGAAAGAATACCTTTCAAAAGTGTGACACCTCTTTATCCAAGTTTACCATATCAATAACAGGAAGGCCTTTCCCATCCCTCTTTCTCTAAACTTTCCCACTCCTGTGTTCACAGTAAGGATTTTTTTTGGTCAAGGAGTGAAGCTGAAGAGAGGAAAATACTCTTTTGGTAGAAATTCTTGTGTAATTTGAAATCAGCTGCAGAGTTTTGGTTTCAAACTTAATGCTGTCCAGTGTCTTATGACCGAAATAATTTTTTAAATGACTTTTCATGGATAAAATGATGTGGAAATACTTTTGATCAGCTGTATCCTATAGCACAATGATATCTAGTATGTTGCAACTTTTTTCTATGAAACCATGGTTTACTACAGCTCAAATAATGGTTGTATATAGTTTCTACCCTTGTCCAGCACACTTTATTTTCTCTTAACTGATACTGAAGCTTTTTAATGCTGTAGAGGTGTGCTGACAAATTGCTTTTGGTCCTTGTGTAAAGTTCTGCTGAAATATTCTCTTGAAACTTGCTTATGATGGCATTTGTCTTAAGTGTGGTTCCAGTGACAGCAAAGTGGTCAAATAGTATAGAAAAATGTGCATGACATTTTGGGCTTTTTTTCATCACTTGTATATGCACAGCATGAAACTTCAATAAAAGTATCATGGTAGTCTTTTTTTATGACTTACATGTTTTGTGGTTTTTGGTTTTTTTTGTTTTGTTTTGTTTTGTTTTTGCTCTTAACAAGGGTTGCTACAACTGAACAATGTTTTTAGCTGTAGTGTGGGTGTACCCAGAAATTTGTTGCCTCTATCCAAGTATGCTGGCATCTCAGAGATTACTCATGCTTGAAACCAGACAGAATCCAGGATCAAACAGGTTCTCATCCTTGGCATCAACCTCACTGTTAATAACTGAAGAAAGATCTTCAGTTACAACTACCTATGACAAATGTAGCCCCCTGCAAATTTTCAGCAATGTAAGCTGAATGTTTTGGCAGGTGCTCATATTTTGTAATGGAGGAGGAGCTTCTTTAATTGCAGTTGTCTGCAGTTAGGGAAAGGCAACACAGATGAAAATTCCACAAGTGCCTACTGGGAGACAACTGTCTGAATGGTGCAGGTTTTCCAGCACTACACTGAAAGACAATTCTGTTACTTCAGAGTTGGTTCTACATACACATCCATGTGTAGTTTGACCAAGTTACAAGATTTATTTTCAGCCCCTCTACATTTCCTATTCAGGTAGTCTGGTGTTTTTTTTAAGTACTTTATAAATTGTATTTTATATTGAATGTTTATGAATGCATAGCAAGAGTAAATATAAAACCATGATAATTTAATAACCTCAGGATCTGTCATTTCAAGATGGAACCTGGTCTTTTTAATAACTAAATGGAAAAAAAACCCACCCTGTCATCAGTTGTTCAATATGTATGAAACCTCAAGATGTCAAGGGCTAATTTTTTGTTCCTGTATAGATCAGTTAAATTTCCTGTGATGTGGTGTGCTCATTAAGCTTAGCTTTATTTCAAATATTTTAAAAATACTTCAGTGAATGCTACCTATATTTAAGCCCTTTGAATTTTAAGCAGCAGATTCTTAAAGCGTAAGTATTTGCCTATATGCCTTTCTTCCTTTGCAAGTTCAATATGAGTAAATTGCTTTGCAGAAGTGTTAAGATGGAAGTGTCCACAAAGCACCTTTGTAGTAAAACATTATTTTCAACTTACTATAAAATGCTGCAGGCACACAAACACATTCCCCTTTGCTTAAAGAAACACACAGTTCTCAGAATAGTCCTTTTTACTGTGATTTACAATAAAAATAATTTACAACATATTCATGAAAAATAATGCCATTTGGAGTCTGGCACAGATGTTTTCCTTTATCAGAGAGGAAGCTAATGTAAAATCCTTTTTCTCCCTAAAAGACTTCATAAAGTAAATGAAACTTTTTTTTTTTTAAAAAAAGGAAGTCCCTTTAGAAAGTCTACTTTACACAGCACTAATAAGTCAGCATGCAGGAAAGCTTATTTAAACTGGACCAGCAGTGCTTGAATTAACCTTTTAAAAAAATAATAATAATCATCCCATGAGAGGAAAGGTAAAGGGAACTTTACCTACACCACAAGTCCTTTGGATATCACCGCTCAATAAGCCTGAACTCTGCTAGCAGTGGCAGGTGGTCAGAAGAGTTATTTTCATTGGGAAGACCATTAACAGTCCAAAGATCTTTCTCTGTTAGAAGTGCTAGCCTGCCAAGAAGTTTCAGACCTCCACAAAAAGAATCCTCTGCTCCTGTTAGAAAAAAACAAACCAAAAGGAAATGTTCATCAGTGTGGGCTAAATACTTCACATTCCTACAGATGCAGAAGGAGGAAAACAGTATGGCATCAATAATCCAAAATTGTTACTGTTCCATCCATGCAAAATCACCTATAAGACAGTTCAGAAATTCTTTATGACTCTCAAAATAGAGTTTCATGAGTAGAGCTCAAAGTATTCAGAAGGATACTATTTTGTGGAGGAGTAAATAGAAATAAAAAGGAAAATGCATTTATTTGTTCACTGCAACTCTCCTGAAAAAGCCTCATAGAATCCAGTCCATTACTTTAGAAAACAGCATTGCTAAACAGAACAGACACTTGCAAAGTTAAGTAACTTTTTAGAGTTACTGGTTCACATAACATTTTATTTCTGTATCCCCAAGCACACAGTTCCCCAGCAGGCAGGTCATACAGACACTTTGCTTGTAAGGATGAAGGTATTCTAGCTTTCTATGCCCTTTCCAACTGTTCATCATAAGAAGGGGATCTCCATTATCTCCTGCTACCTATTCCTATAACCACCTAAGAAACTCACTCCCAGCTCCTTCCCCAGATGAAACACCACACTACTCATGCAAGGGTGAAGACAACTCAAGTCTTGCAATTACTACACAATTACACAGAATAGTTTGGGTTGGAAGGGATCCTAGGCACCATCAAGTTCCAACCCTCTTGCCATGGGCAAGGAATACCTTCCACTAGACCAGGTTGCTCAGAGCTCCATCCAGCCTGACCTTGGACACTTTGCAGGGACAGGGCAGCGTTGGTCCCAATACTGATCCCTGAGGAATGCCACTTGTCTCCACCTGGACATTGAGACATTGATGGCAACTGTTTGTTTCCAGCCAGTTCATGGAGTGGTGCAGCCACCAAATCCATCTCTCCAGCTGTTGGGCAGGACCATGTCAAATGCCTTGCACAAGGCCAGGTAGATACTCAGTTTTGTTCCCTTTTCCACAATTACTGTAACCCTGCTACTAAAGGCTGCTAGATTTTTCAGTCATGATTTGCCCATCATCAAAGAACAATCAGCTTTTTCAGCTCAGGTGGAGAAATTCCACTGAAATCCTTCCATGATGTGTACAATTTAGATTTCCTGAGCTATGTATTCAAGTTACACAACTACTCAGCAACCCTACCTATTGCTTTCAGAGTGCAGAGATGATACTGGGCAAGCTGAGTGCTTTCAGGAGCAGCACAAACTGCAGCTGTAACTGCTGACAGAAATCCTTTCTGTGTGAAAGTTCTCATCAGATTCAGAATTTCCTGGCTGACCCTGGTAGTGGCTTCCCAAGAAATACTTTAAAGGACTCCTCAGAGAGTTCAACAGCTTCATCTGCCAGCTTTCCAGCCCTTCAACAATGCAGAAGCTGTTTGTTGGTCTAAAGAAAAGCTTTTTTAATGCAAAGATCTCCTGGCAGCTCTAGAGCACGTATCCAACAGGTCTTGAACCAAATTTATCATTTGGGACAGCACCTGCACATCTACAAAGGAGCAGTTTGTTGCCACAGAGAGCTTGGTCTACATGCAGTGGTTAATGCCACTCAGAACACTCAGCAAAACTCTGCTCTGCAGGACTCAGGTAGATACTGAGTCCTGGTTACAGGAAATCCTGAATACCAAACCAAATATTTGGATAAACATGACAAAATAAAGCATTAATATTTTAAAATAAAACACTTTAAATGGAAAAAATCTATCACTGACCACATTTAAAATTCACTTGTACAGACTTTGGCAACTTTAAATACAGAAGCTCAGGTCATTAGAAAACTGAAAACCCAAGCCACGGCTTAATTTCTAAGAGCTCATGAATAAAAACTATACTGGTTTAAAGTAGTTGGAAAATTCAAGTTTGGTTCCACTCTGTGCTCTGATGTGGGAAAAATCTATTTGAAAAACAAGTGCAAAAAGAAAAAAGTGCTGTATCTGCTGGAGGAATGATGGTGCTGATGATACAAAAATATATAATGATGGTGCAAAAAATATATAAACAGGTGAATTACGATTAAATTTTGTGCAGGGATGCACTCTGCAATCACACGGCACTCTATTAAATCACATGGCATTCAGAAGTAATTTAAATACTCCCCATATTGCGTTTTTTCAGTCAAAGCTTTTGTATTTGCCATTTTACATTAAGGTAGCATTTACAGTGCATGTTATGACAAATGAGACTTCTGTGAATTGACTCAATGAATTTTGACACTCTAGTCTCAAGTGACAAGAGATGAAGGTGGTGTTTTCATTCCACATACTGAAAACAATATTAATTTATAAAAATCAGTTGCATTGTACAGTGGGAGCAGGAATGGAATCCTGGTTTCTTTGCTTAAGTTCTGCAGAGCCATTAATGTGCTAGCACTGCACTGATGTTTGTTGATGGCATGGAAAGCAAACTGCTCAGAAGCACCCACACAGCAGTAAAGCATGGGGAAACGCTGATAGCCGTCACGAAATTCCTGCAGAGGTACCGCGACTTTGTTGCACCATCTGGTGACTTTTAGCTGCAACTGCAAACCGGAGAGTGACAGAGTGACAGCTGAGCGAGCCTGTGCCATCACCTTGCTCAGAGCAAAGGCCAGGAGTCTGTTACTTGGCAGAAATCACCGCAAGACAAACTGAGAAGTAAATTGCCAGGAAACGGTTCGTTTATCAGTTTTATTGCACATCACAAATCGCTGTTCATTGTATTATCAGATGATTGGGAATACTGCCTTGCTGTAGGTCTGGCCTGCATTACTGACAGCAGAACTTCTCAAGTGCTACTTCCACTGCTGCTTTCCTTGCATCCATGCTGAGACAGGAACCACAGAATTCAGTCAGATGAAAAGGGTGGCCCTGTGTGGCACTACAAGTACAGCTGTGGTGAGCTGACAAGGGCAGCCATGTTTCTCAGGTAACAGCTGACATTCAAAGCACTACCATGAACCTCTAAGGAACTTCACATGGATGGAATCATCACTACACTTCTCTTACTTACAACAGCAAACAAATATTGTTTAGCATTTATGAGAATTAAAAGGTGGTTTCTTTACCTGGCTGGTCAGCAGTAGCATCATTTGCTGCAGAATAGAAAATATAATCCACGGTGACAGCACTTCGGGAATGACAAGTTGTCACTTCTGGGATCCCAGTTTCAGGGAAGTAATGAGAATAGACTGAAGACAATTTAAAATGGTGCCGCAATTTCGAAGATAATCTAGAGACATCAAAGAAAAGAATTTTATTTTCTTCCCATTACCAAGAAGGGATAAGCAATCAAGAAATACCAAATACGTCCTGGTTACAAACCAAATTAATTATCTGGATATGCAAACTAGTGTTTCTCTCCTGCAAACCATCCCATAGTCTTTTGTGCGAGAGGTCTAAAACTTTAAAGGCAAAATGCAGGCAGCATTTTCAAGTAAAAGTGCTGATCAGAACTGGCTTAGCTGACACTCTACTTAATAGATTGTTTACAGAATGTATATGGAGTTGAAAGCTTTCACTTGTCCTCACTCAGCAATCTCTCCCTGACATGCAGGCAGGAATGTCCATGAAAACAGCTCATATGAAAGCAACAAAACACAAAGTCATATAACCAGACCCTTCAGCATAAAGAGAAATTCAGATTTTCCAAAGTTTTTCTTCCCCAGGCTTCCACGTTAGGCTATGCTAATGTCTTCCACTCAGGCTCCCATTTTCTGTCTCCCCATCATTTGTCTGTTCCTTTTCAGTTCAGCCCATCTTGTCTCACCCATCTTTTCAATCTTGAAAGCAAACTGCAAAACTGCACCTTTCAACAAAAGAACTCCTATTTTAGACATTTGCTTCCATCATCTCTACAAATCACCAACCCTCAGCTGTACCTGCTGTACCTGCCTCATCCTGCATTTTAAACCTAGGCTGCAATGTGTTCTGGTTGAGACCCAAGCAATTAAAAAAAAAAATCAGCATGTTACTTTGCCTGATTCAGAGCAGAGACAAACATGCCAGTTGGTATAACACAGACAAGCAGTGATTTCTGCTTTTGTTACATGACATCCCTTTTAAGAAAGAAGCATTCAGCATGCTATGGATTTAAGCTGTTGCACAGGGCCTCTTGTTTGTTATCTACTTCTTCTGTCAGAAATGCCATGACATCTTTTTCATCACCAAAAATCACCAAGAGTTCTAATATGATTATCTGCAGTGATACCAAGATCTCATTTCTGGTAAGAAATAGCTGACTTGGAGCCTACCATGCCATACATACATTTAGGGCAATTTCCTTCTTCTATGCCTTACTTTATATGCCTCTACCAGTTTGGTAAATACAAATATATTCTTGCTTTCAAAAAGCAGTTACATTTTCCTCCTCAGCATTCTAGCCATGGCTTCCTCCTTCTGAGTGGAAGTTGTATTACCAAAGCCATAATACCCCACATTTTTCAGACTCAAAGAACTTAAATACTCCCACACAACTCATGAAAAGGAAGATTTTGTGACCTTTCCAGTTCCTTTCCCTCCTTCCTCTCAGTTTCACACTGTATTAAAAGATTTTATACATCCATAAACCAGTGTATCAAAAACAATAAAAAGAAAGAAGTGCCAATACTTCAGCAGCTGGACAACACTGGCATATTTTTTTCTTTTCCCACTTTTAAAAACATGGCTTCTGCAACTGGCCTGAAGCTCATGTGTTTCTTGCAATGTCCCTACAGAGGATGATGTTCTGTTTATGTCAAGAAGTGACAAAAAAATGCCAGAAGCGTTGTTTTAATGAGCAGACAGAAAGTACCCTCTAAACAGCACTGACACCTCAGCCCTGCATTCTGAAAAAATATCTGCAAATTCCTGAAGAACACACATTCCATCATTGCCAGTTGTAGTCTTTTGCTGTTTCATCAGCCTTTTCATGTTTAAATGAACAATGATGTTTTTGCCAAAAAGGCAGACGAGGTTGGGTAATCATCAGGTATCCACAGCTGGAATCAGGTATAAATAAACCAAAACCAACCCCCAAGTAGCCAGCCAAAGGCTTCCACATTTTTCCCCAATACATACTTTTCAGATGCTATTACAATCTCCTGAGCATTGTCTGACTTTGCCGCTTTCAATTTTTCTTCTGCAAAATAAGAAGAAATTCAATATATATTTAAAAGAGGATATAAGTAAGACCAATGCTGAAGAGCTACAGAAAAGCTACAGTAAAAAAAAAAAGTATCTTTACACTTATTTTTTTGCAGCAGGCAAGATACAATTCACCAAGCTGGATTAAATTATTCTGTTCCATTAGTAACATCCCCTCTAAAGACTCTTTTATATTATATCCCATTCATTTAAAATTGTTTTTTCTGTCAAAGGAAAAAATAGTGGATGAAAGGTGTGGCCATACTCAGCAAGGAATCACTTGCTTTTCCCAACTGTCCCAGGAAATGCCAGCACTATAATTCATAAACACTGAGACAGAATGCAGGTCCACACTATGTCCATGTGCTGCACTCCTTCATCTCCCTCTCCCAGTCACAGCACAGCTGGCTTTCAGGATGCAGACACAGGAGTTTAAACATTACACACCAATTCCTGAAGGGAAATTTCTAACTATTATCTTATACAGATTCAAATTTGCAAAGTGTATGTGAATAAACTTTAAACTCTAATGAGTCCAACAAGGAAGTTTTGTAAGCTCAAGACTCACTGTTTTTCCCCCACTGAAACAGAATGTATGGTTTTCAGTACTAGCTGAATGCTACTTTCAAAGGTTCACAAAAATTCATTCATTCAAAAACTGACCTGCATTTTCTTCCTTTTGTTGCTGTTTTATTTCATATACACAGTTTTGTGAAATACCTAATTTTTTTGGCCAAATTGGAATAGATAATATTCTTTGTCCCCGTGGAAACTGTTCTTGTCCAGAGACCTGAGAAAGACATCAGACAGAAATCTGATTAAAAAAAACCCAAAAAAACCCACCAAACAGACCTGAAATAAGTGAATGTTTTTCTGAAGTTTAAAGAAGAAGGCCCATCCCCTTTGGAATAACTCTTTTATAATGAGTCAAATCCCTGTAAAAATAACACCCTTTCATACATCCACTCTGTTTATCCATAGCAAGTTCTTTGCTGGTGCCCAGTTTTTCCAGATGGTTCCTGTGACACTGAGACACTTCCAAGGACATGTTTAGCAATGTGACAGCACTGGCTCAGCATCCAAAGCTACCCAGCACACACTTCAGCTGCAGGATGCTGATCCTTCTGGGAGCAAGTCAAGTCAAATGGGGCTTGAATCAAGTCCCCACTAGCAAAGAACACCCAGCAAGACTATTTTTTTGGTCATGTTTCCTCATTTTATGTAGTTCAGTCACCCTTATTACCTAGCATGTGACACATCCAATAGCTGCATACAACAGCTCACAACAAGACATCTTTTAACATTAAAGAGTTATTTAATTGCAGCTTTGCTTTTGCAATTACTGTAGCCACCAAGTTTATCTACAGTAAGTCATCTTCCCACAGAGTACACAGTAGGTTTTTGATTAAGTAGTTATTTTATCCTACTTAAAGACTGGGCACTTAAACACAGTGATAAAATTATCCAAACACAGTGATACAATTGTTCTGTGTATTCACTAAATTTCAGGAATGATTGTTGTTGAGTCTTTCCTTTCAGAATGCTGGGAGAAGACACAATATCCCCTAATGCACAGATAATATAGCCAAGCTTATTTAAATTCAGTAACTTTTGCTTTGCAGGCTGCTGACAGGGCACCAAGAGAGGCACTTCAACGAGAACAATCACACCACAGCTCAAATACTTCTCTTTAATCAGCGTTAACCATTTTTTTGGTGAGAAGTGAGAAGCACAGCCTACCTTCCCTATGGCAAGTCCTTCATAATTTAACTTTCCTTCCTTTATAAATCTGTACAATGGCGAGCCAGGAACAGAATTGAAGTCCCCACAGATGATAACTGGGCAGAAAGAGCCATCCTTCTGAGGGGCCACACTGGCAATCTCTGCCAGGAGGATTGCAAGCTGGGTCAGTTTGATGTCCCCTCTCCTTGGGTTGTACAGCAGGTGTGTATTGGCAATACAGATGGCAGCATTGGCTTTACAGTGAAATCTGGGCTGCAGCAGCAACACCAGTCCAATGTTGTCCCTGTCCAAGAGTGGGATATCACGGCGAAAAAATTCCACTGGGTTTGAGGAAATCAGGCTAAATTTGGAAGTTTTGAAGCAAATGGCACAGCCATCAGGTTTTCTGCCTGTCCTCATTTTATACTCACAGTGATACCCTGCAAGAAAGGCAATTAAGAACATAAAATACTCTAGTATAAATAGAGATTTTAAAACAAACAAACAAAAAAATCAGAAAGATCTCATGCTGATTTACTCACATCACAGTCAACCCCCAGTCTCAAGTACCAAAGTCTGTGTGATGTTCACATAAACTTGTGTTCACTTTTCTTTCTGCCCTAATCTGAGCTGAGGCAAGGCAGGACAGGAAACGTGGTCCAATATCTTATGCAATGTGTAAACATCACATACTCTAAGATACCAGTCATGTTCTTATCTCCTCATCTGGAAAAATACCCAAACCAAAACAACAAAGAAACCCCCACAAGGCAGATAAAAGTAGCCTTGTGCATTAAAGTTTTTTCTGGATGCTACAAGAATACCAGTGAAGCATTACCAATCAAAAGCCTTAATCGTGCTAAGTCATTAGTCAATGTCTAAAATTATTCATGGAACAAAGGTCTCAAATGTATTTACATAATTATGCAATTATCCTGTGAGCAGCAAGTGGCAAGCTTTCACCAAGGAAACAGAGACACTTATCAAATGACAACACTGGAGCTCAAACAAGTCCATCTAGAAATAGTGATTTGCCAATTTCTTCATTTTATGTAGAGGTGATTTAAACAAGACCTTATTTATGTAAGGAAAAAAAAAAGATCTTAAAACAGTATCATGAAGTACAGCCTTAGTGAAGTAGGGTGAGTTGATCTCAGCTCACACCAGTGCTGGAACAGGGGATTCCCATTCCCATTTCCCACTCCACTTGTTGTGGCACATACTGCTAACTAATCCAACAGAAAATTAATCCAAAAAATAAAATTAGTCTGGATAGTATTCTGCTGGACTGGTGGCTTTCACTAGTGAGTGCCAGAACTAGCCCAGGACAAGGGGCAGTACACACACCTGGGAGCCAGGGATGGGGAAAGGAAGAGCTAAAGCAAGCTCCAGATCCTCCTGTACAGTAGCTACAAGCTCACTTGCCCCCACAAGCCTGGCCTCACAGTGCTGTTTCACGGTTCAAGTGGATTTCAATCAGTACTGCCATCACTCTTTTCTTTGCAAACACTAAATTCTTGGAGCTAGACTACTTCAATTAATCAAAAAAGAAAAAAAATATCAGTCCAGTGCTGCTCCTTTACCATGTCCTCCTGGCATTAGACAAGAAGCAGTGCCAGGATGGAAGTGGGGCCCTGGAACTGGAAGGTGGTGCAGGGCACAAAAGGTTTAGATCAGTTTAAACCACCATGGAATCAACCCTTAGCAACACATTCCTTCCATAAAATCACAGGAGGGATAGTGACAAGACAGTCTATTCAGACTGACTGATAGTACTTGTATAAAAACCTAATGAATATATACTGACCATGGATAACACTTAGCGCTGATATTTGGAAGGCTTCAAGACAGAAAAAACATGCCCTTGAAGAGCTACCCAACAGGAATACTGGTAAAAAAGATGAAGGTAATTTCAAGAGAACACTTGATGAATTTATGAAAGAGGATACACAACATTGTTGCATGTGACAGCAAAAGAGTTGATTCTATAATGAGAGGTTTTTCTTGAGGAAACTACTGCTGAGTTCCCAAAGGAGAGAAGACAATGTATTGGTCCTAAGAGTTTCATCATACCCAGGGATTCCAAACTTGATTTGATCTCTGTTCTATAGTGGTCTTCTTGGACTTCCTGTAAGCAGAGCACCTAAGGCAAAGGTTTACAATTAAAATATATTAGCAAGCACATCAAAATATTACTACAGCATATCTCTGTTGACCAGTCTGTACAGGTATTAAAAAAAGCAAACTCAGAAACTTTTTGGCAAAAGAAGTCACTCTTCTATAGAAAATGCTCCCTAAGATTATGAAGAAGGCCCCAATTCCTCCTTTTTCAGACAGACAATTTCAGATGTGAGATTCAATTTAATCAAAATAGTAACTTGCTCCTACATTCTTAGCAGCTCAGGGAAAGGCCGAGGGAGAAGGGATGAAAAGGCAAATGGTATACTACAGGGTGGAAAACAGGCTTCCATACTATAAGAACCTGAACCAAAGATAAGAGAGTTCACAGACTCACAGAGTAACTTGAGTTGGAATGGACCCACAAGGATCACCAAGTCCAACTCTAGCTGTAAGCATCTCTAAGCCATCCCCCAGCAGGCTGCAGTAACACAGGTCTACAGCCACCACTGGGATAAAAGACTGAGCTCCCAAAGGGGAACAAGTTACCCCTGCTTGCTGAACTGCAGCAACACATTCCACTTGCCCAGCTGAAATTAGCTCATTCAAAGTGTCAAGGGAGACCCGAATCTCAAGCAACATTCTGTAATCTCTGGTTCACTACAGGTTACAGTTCCAACCAATGAAATAGTTAAAAAATCTATGTCCTTTAGCAAGAATTTTCTCTGTGGAAAGGACACCTACATCTACCAGGGTCTGAGAGCAGCTGCTCCTCTCAAAAAGCTATCCAAGGTATCTCATTGTTAAAGATATATGTACACAGGATGTATAGGTTTATTAGGAAGAAAGGAGGAGCTTGAAGAGGACTTCAATTTCCAGATTCCTGGCTACATACTAATATAACTGCATTTTTCAAATGGTACAAGGCTGTTTGTCTGTGGCTTCCCTATTACAACTACTTTTTCAGTACTGCTTTCTGACACAAACAGGATGGATTCTATCACTGAACTTTTGTTGGTCTGAACGACTGAAGCAAAATTTTACTGACTTGACTTCCTGGTTAAGACTCACAATAATTTATGTGTCCTCAAAAGCAAACAATAAGCTCTACAACCAACCAAAACCACAGAGGTATTTTTTCAGACCCCAGTATAGACTAGCAGAAATTGCTACTTCAGTTTATCAGTTCCCAGAAATATCCACATGATCATTTTCTACTCACATCTGCATCCAGCTCTTTGATTTCTTGTAGGATGTTGGGAAATCTGTATGTCCAGAATAGCAATCGCTGCCTGCAGTGTTTGTACAGGTGAGAGTTGTCTTCTAACAAATTCTGTGAGAGAATATTGTAGGACATGACTGTAAAATCAAATGTTGCCTCACTTCCTGTGTTGCTTTGGTCAGATCCTTTATTTTTAGCAATTTTCATTGTTCTACTCTGCTGACAGAAATATTCCCAGTGTCTTTTGATGGTTCCTGTTAAAAGCACATGAAGCAGAAAAAAGTTATGTTATAGACCATATGACTTCTTACTGCTTTTGGAAATCATTCTACTGAGAACTATTTGTCTTTCAAATCTCTTAAACAATTCTAAGAGTTTATTCAATTAGCAGTGATTCAGATCCTCTGTTTAAGAACAATTTTATATAAGCATCAGTAAAAAAAGAAAAATAATCAAACAAACAAAAAAACCCAACCTCAAGACAAACAGCACAAAACCATTATATGCCCTGGATTTCAATGCCTTTGAAACTGGGAAGCTGACATGTTTTAAGGAGAATGTTGCAATCAGACTACACCCTCTGCTCTTGCAGAAGGGCTGCCAAACTGGTGAGCCAAATCCAGTCTGTTGGGAGTTTTACACTGCCTTGTGCCACTGCTTCCTCAGCAGAGATGGTGTATGCCAGTCTGGGATGCACTCCTTAGGGCAGCAGATGGGCACCTTGTAGATCTCTCTATCCATGACTAACAAAGGGTTAGGAATATATCAATCACCTCTACTGCATGTACAGTCTGTAAAACTCAGCCAGAAGCTGCAACGAGGTCTGCTACAGGAGTCTCAAAACAAATAATAAACCAAATTTTTCTCACTGAGAAATCGAGACATTATTAAGTCTCAGAAATACCAAGAACTTCTGAAAATGTTTCCTTCACCTTTCTGCCATTTTTCATTTCATACTTATTATTAGTAAATAGTACTACTATTAGTACTTACTATTAGTAAATAGGCAAATTTATGATAACATATTACCCATCATTAAGCATTCAATTACTTTTTTAGAAATTTATTTATCCACTTAAAAACTCACAGAGATGCTTTTCACCCTTTATATCTGACCTCATCTGAGAGCAAGCTGAGGTCCACTTATCTGTGCTAACAACCAGTGGCAGACTGCAACTATAGCTGTCACCATCTGTCCTATTTGAGTAGTAATTTTCATTGCTGTGCTTAGATTATTCAGGACTTTACAGTGTTGGCAATGAATACAGCAAGGCTTTAAGTTCTATTTCTGTGGTGGGAGAAAAGCTACATTGCTCCTCAGCAGATATCTTTAACTTAACATCACCTCACAAAGGGTGACTGGAAAGGACCACAGTGCCAACCACACTCTCAGATAAAGCTATCTGATAAAAGTCAACTAGGGTTAAGAGAGGACTCACTAATTAAGGCATGAAGCAAAGTCCCCTCCTTTGGCTCCTGAAGATGAATATGATGTTTCTAAGCCTTATGGGTATTTGTGTCCAAACATCCCTTTGGGATGCTGATAGCATCTATTGCCCCTTTTAGTCATAATAAAATTTCCAGTTTATTTTGCTAAGGAAGGGATTTATGCAAGAGGGCAACAATTTTCACTGTGTTCCTCTACTTGTCTCACACTAGACAAAACTGTAAATATACACAATATTCAGTAAAATATTTGGATGCTATGTACAAGATTATATCTGTAACAAGCTAACACAGACACTTTGAAGTTTCACAGAAGTTTGTTACTAAGCCCAGCAGACAGCTGCACTTCTTCCTGTACTTATCTGGAAAAGCACACGTGCTGCTTGCTCTGTCAGACAAGATCTGACACAAAACTTGCTAACATGCCAGTGGCAGAATACAGCTGTAAGAACAAAATCACACAATCACACTGGAAGTATGCACCATTAAAACTCAGTGCACTCATTCTCAGTTTTCTAGGTCACAGGTAACTCAACTGGTCTGGAAATAAACCAGTTCAGGTCCAGTAGAGTTTATGAGCTCAGGTAGAGCACAAGGAATGAAGCTATACAACTGCCAGTCCAGCTCAGCCCTAAAGCAAGTCAGCCAAACCTTTTTGCTTTTCTGAGCTTCCAAGTCAACAGACATGACTTGGTGACAGAGACATGAGAGTGTTGTCTGAACCAAGCTCAGGACTCCCCAGGTTGGGCAGTCCCTCACACAACTGACTGTGTTCTACTGCCAAGTGCAATGAACCTAGTTCTGCTAGACTGTTTGACAGCACAAAATACAAGTTTACAGACTAAACAGCATTACAAAACTCCATAATTTTAAAGACATGTTTTCTTGAGAGGGGTGCCAAGAAAAACAGCAACTCAAAAGGAGCAGGCATTACTGCTCATATCTCTAACTCATTTGGTGTATTTAGCATTACAAAAAAACACAGCAAATGAGCAAAGAGCATCTTTTACCTTTCCTGCTGCCATGTTTTTCTTCATTCTGTGCTACAGAAAGACAAGATACTTCTTTCTGATTAGACAAGTCTGTTTGTTGTTCAGGAGTCGAAGTATCATCTTGGCCACTGAGTCTTCTCTTCTTTGTCAATGGTTCTTCTCTCTCGGATTTCATACTGGGGTTGGGTAGATGAAAGCAACAACTTTGTGTGTAGTTATCAAGATGCCAATTAGAGTTCTGAAATTGTCTCCAAGGTCCAAAAAATGGAGGGGCTCTCCAGTTTGCTGAAAAATCAGCTGAAATGGGGAGTGGAAATGAGGCCCAGGGAGGATAATGTCCGGCCCATCTCATACAGCTGGAAACTGGGCTGTTCAAGGCAAGTATCTGGGAGCCATTCCAGTGGGTGATCCAGTCTCTGCCCAACCTCTGCACATGGCGGGGCAGCATGGAGTGTCTACCAAAAAAGCACAAGTTTCATTACTAGCACACAACTACATCTGCCTGTAGGAAGCTGTGGAAGCAAAGTCATCCTGGTCAAGACTTACAGAAGATACTCTCTCTCTCTACAAGTTAATGCATACAAGATATTCAAACACTTATACACAAGGTATTTAAACATTTATCTAGATGATATTCAAAACGAGACTTTACAAAGTGATCTTGCATCCTTTTCCCCCCCTCAGATTTACAAGTGCCATTTAGTGTCCAAACCCTATCTGCCTCAGTAATAATTTAAAATTTATTTTCTGCCTTGTTGAATTCAAGTATTAGATCTTTCAAATGCTCAGACAATTGAACTTTACAAAAGGTCATTTTTGCATGCTGCATTATCATAAGGCTATTTGTAAGGAATGAGAACCACTTTCCTGCAAGCCGTCAGAACTTTGTTTGGAAAGCCATTGATTTGGCTCAGATCCCAGTGCCAACACAACAGGGAAATAAAGGTACTAAGTCTCAAGGCATCACTAGCACCAACTTAAGACTAAATCTGTATTCTTACTTCTTTTCCAGGAGAGCAAACCACAGCTCAGCAACTAAAGCCGTGAAAAAAGGTGGGTTTTTTTCTTCTTTAGAAGAAAGAAATCTGTCTCTCAACAAAATCACAGGATGGAAGGCTGAGTGACAATAATATCTCAGCTTCCTCATTGTTTAATTAAGGTATATTTCGAACTTATAAGTAAAAGATATCAAAGCTTGGTATGCCTGAAGTTGCGCTGAAGTGAGAACCTCCCAGGTGCCATTCAGCTGAGCAAATAAGAAGCCGAAATACAGAATCACTGAATCACAGAGCATGCTGAGTCGGGAGGGACCCACAAGGATCGCCGAGTCTAACTCCTGGCCCTGCACAGGACACCCTGAGAGCATTGTCCAAAGGCTCCCTGAACTGTCAGGCTGCTTGGTGCTGCTCCCTGGGGAGCCTGTTCCAGCCGTGAGGAACGCTTTTCCAATATCCAGCCTAAATCTGCCCTGACACAGCTTCAGGGCATCCCTCGGCTCCTGTCGCTGGGCACCACGGAGCAGAGATCAGTGTCTGCCCCTTTCTTCCCTTCACAAGGAAGTTCCTGACTGCCATGAGGTCTCCCTCAGTCTCCTCCAGGCTGGAAATGACCTCGGCCGCTGCTCACACTTATTCCATTCACCATCTTCACTGCCCTCCTTTGGACACCCTCTAATCGCTTATACAACTTTCAGCAAACCCCGCTTGTCCTGAAATAACCCCTTTCCGCCACAGCGCACCAGATGTAGTCAGGCAGGCACAAAAACAAAACACCCCCAGCGTTACAGCGAACAAAAAGAGGCATCACTCCTTTACAAAAAAAACCCTGAGCCACATGCTTTACAGAAAAGCACTGAGAAACCGCTCCCGCCTCGACCCCGGCCCCGCCAAGCCCCATCCCCGCCGCGCTGCGCTCTGTCCGCCGCGGCCCTGCCCGGCCTAATGGCGGCATTCACCCGCAGCGCCCCCGGCCGCGGTTACCTCCCGGCGGGCCCGGGCGCCGCTCCCGGCCCCGCGCAGGGGTCAGCCCGGGGCAGCGCCAGCTCCGGCCGCCGCGCTCCGGCCGCCCCGCCGCCGCCCCGCCGTGCGCACGGGCTGCGGCCGCGCCGCGCCCTCCCGCTCGCTCCTGGGACTTGTAGTCCCGGCCCGCCATGTTTAGTGCGGGCAGGCGGCGCCGCGGCCCGGCCGCCATCGCGGCCTCAGCCCGCGCTCCCCGCTGCGCAGCGCGGCAAGACCCGCGTGTGGGCAGCCCGATGGGGACGCTGAAGCGTTCACCTGGGGTGTTATGTGTAGTAGACAGAATTCGCGCTATTTCTAGCATGATATGTGTGATATTGAATATTTGTTGGAGTATACACGTTTGTATTAGGAGGCCTCCCGACCCTTGCAGGCGAGACCTGGTGTGTATTAGAACCCGATTTACAAGTAAAAGGACGTGGCTCGGCCAGGAGATGGGCCATGGCTGGAGAGATACGGGGACCCCAGGCGCTGATCATCGCGTGAATGACCCGAGATGGATGTCATGGAAATCCTCGGGCAGATACCTGTGAATGCAGTGTTCCTGTAAACTTCATAGGGATTCAACAACTCCGGACACTGAATTGTTCTTCATCACCAAAAAAGAAAATCTTATTAACCTATGGACTCTGAATGGAAGAAAAGACTAACTGCCAAAATCTTGTCTTCAGGCGGAATTTTCCCCATAAAAACCGCTTGTGCCAGGATGGAGGTGTGGGCACAGAGGAAAATATCTGCTGAGGCTGACTTCTTGTTGCACACCCAGGGCCAACCCCGCGCTCGGCACTGTTCTTTCCTTGTGGCTGGCTAGATAAAATTTGATTGCAAAATAAATATTTTATTTTTTCATTTTAATTTGGCTGGACAAATTTTCGTTTATAACAGAGGTAACGCTGAGCTTGTGCAGAGCTCATTCACCTAGAGGGTGGTCAACAATGGAAAAGGCTCCCCAGGAAAGCAGTCCCAGCACCAAGCCTGGCAGAGTTCAAGAGGCATTTGGACAATGCTCTCAGGCACATGGTGTGACCCTCGAGGATGTCCTGTGCAGGGCCAGGGGTTGGACTTTGATGATCCTTGTGGATCCCTTCGAACTCAGCATATTCTGTGATAGTTTCCATAACTGGTTTTCTCCCTGGGATCACCGTGTGTTCCTGCAGGGTCAAAGGGGCCGAGAAAGAGCTGCCATATTTCAAGGTGCCATAGTATATTACAAGGGCAGTAGCAACATGCTTAGTATTTGCAGAAAAAAACCCCAAAAAACTCTGCTCACCCAAGCAAGTATTTCAACATTGCAAGGTTTTAAAATGCAGCTGAAAGTGCTCTACTGAGGAGATCTGGCCCGAGAGATGGGTAGCAGACCTGCCTGCCCTGCAGCCTTTGCTGACAGACACACTGCTGCTTACCAGCTGCAGCAACAATCCTTTGCCTCTGCCAGTGTTGCTTGAATAAGCACTTAGAATCCTTTCTTGAGGTCTTCTGAGGACAGAGGAAATGCTGGCCCTGTTTACTGTAAGGAAACGTAGCACAATGCATATAAAAAATTAGAGTGCTGAATAGTGCAGATGCTGTGCAGGAACTGTAATCAAGTAAAATACTGTTTCTCTGCATTCCTTTTCTATCTGTCACAAAGCGACTTTAAAGAACATTTGAAGTTTTCCCAGGAATGGTAGGGAAGACTGGAATTGAAATAATGCGGTGATGAGCACACTAGTTAGGCAACATATCAGATCCACTTTGGGTTTTCCATTTCTTGCACACAACTTCACACAACTGGTGAAAGGTAAAAATACCCATCCATTTTCTGTTAGTTTCTTCACCATATGGGAATGCAACTACTAACCCCATAACACATGTGTAGTACAGGATCTCCCAACTGCACTTTCAAGACCATCTTGTTTTGGTGGTTTGTTCTTTTCTGAATTTTTGTATTCTTATCTTTTAGATGTATTTCTAGGACTAAAGACAGTAAGCCATAGCTATAGCAACGACTGCTGTTATTTTTAGAAGCAGAATCTACACATAACATGCAGTTATTTTCTGTATTTTGACCTGCACAGGGACACCCAAATTGATCTGCCACTTCAATAGTTTTTACATAGTAGTAATCTCAGTAGTGATGCTGGAAAAAAATAAATCATGGAAGCTTTGGGTTTTAATGAGAATGAAGATGTGCTGAAAAGCATGGAAATTGTGTAATAGACAGAACAGAAGAAAAATATTAACCTATTAAAATGATGCAAATTGTTCCGTATCTCAGTATTGATAGATTTTCTTGCCTTGACCTAGAAAAGTCTTAGTAAGCTATACCATGTAAAAAAGATATTCTGCAGATTTAGGTATTTCCAAGTTCTGATTTGTAAGTAGAAGCCAAATTATTTTATGAGTCATTTGTGCTTTTTGAAACTCCCTAGTGAATGGAGGCTACTGACTCACTGAGGATGCTTTGATTGATTATACTGCACATAAGAACAGCCACGGTGGCTCAGATCAATGGTCCACTGAGCTCAGTTGCCTGCTTTCTAAACGTTGTTAGCAGCAGATGCCTAGAAATATGCAGGGGCTGGGCAAACTTCAAATGAACACTCTCCCTGCCTCTTACTGTTTTCAGCTCCATGCATTTCCTAAGCCTGATGTGTTTGCCCCTTTAGTTACTGACTCTCTCCCCCAGATACTTGAATTTGCAAACTTTTGATAACTTATAGAATTTCCATGAAGTTCTACATATCAGCACAAGATGTAAAAGACATGTTCTTCTCCTCTCAGAGGACAAGGAAGAGTGACAAGTGAGCTGCTAACAACCAATGTCCTCTTTCTTCACTCTTCCTTAAGAAAATGTTCCTCAAAGGAGAGGCATGTGCTTACTATGAACTTCAGTACAAGAGACTCTTATCTTTCACAAAGACACATGGTTAAGTATTGTTAAATACTTTATGTCAAGAACCTGCATGAGAGCAAACATATTAATAACCTGGTAAGGAAAAGACGTTTTTTAACATCTGCAATTAAATGAATGAAAGCACAGTGATTACAAAAAAAAAGAAACAGTTTATATAATATGAGGTGTGAGATCTGCATTGGTACAGACTGCACTGATTTATTTAAAAAAAATGGATACTGATCTAGTACCCATATCCAACTGTGATGGACAAAAACTCTCTAACAGTTTAAAGTTAGAAAGTGTATGTTTATTAGACGCCGGGCAGCGTGCGGGATAGCTCCCAAATACACACCATGGCTTCCAAGTGATTACAGAGTCCTTTTATCCATACAAGTATTGAATACCCAAAATACAAATACATATTCATAATTTTGGTACATCCCATTCCTTGCTTAGTATGCTAATAATTTCAAAAGCTATTAAGCATGCATAGTTTGTTCCTTGAAATGGGTCAGTGGTCCCTTTCATGGGGAGGGGTCCCAAAATGAGGAAGTAAATGAAATCTTCCTCGTTCTGACTTTTCTACCTTTTCAATGCAAATATGACAAATGAACTCTTGGTAGAACTCCTATTCCTTGTCTTCAATTGGTTTCAGAACAGAAGGAGGCCTACAAATTGTCTTATGTTCCTAAAAGCTATTTGTCGGTTTCTATATTCTTCATTATAAACCCAGCTAACGAAACATTGTGCTGACAAGCACAATGTTATTAGTTATTAGTTAACTACTAACTCTTAACTTCATCAAGGCCCACTCATTTATTTTAAATAACTCTAGTAAGGCTTATCTCTAACTAAAATCTTAGCTCCTCTAAAATCTCTAAATTCCTTAAAATTTACGTTTCAGCACTACAGAAATGAAATTGAAGGTAATCTTACAAAAGGACAAGGTCCTGCGGCACAAAGTTATGCTCCTGAGGACTGAAGCAATGCCCCTCAAGCCCTGGAAGGTTTCCTAACACCGACCTGTGCACCCACGAGAACCCATCCGCAGGGAGAAGTCCGGGTGCAGCTTGGAGAACCTGGAGGAGCCACAACACACGAGACCTGGTGACTCGATAACCATCAAACTTGCCTTTCTGGTAGCGTTCCTCTTTAAAATCCGTGAGTCATTTCTGCGTTACAGGCCTATGGATTTAGGGCAGCATAGCCTAAAATAGCCCACGGCAGACGCTGGGAGCGGCGTACCAGGGGCTCACTGCGGATTTGTAGAGGCCCGTGTGAGCGAGGGGCTCGGCCGTCGGTGCCGCCAAGTGTAAATCCCCACGGCGCTGCCCTTGCGGGGCACCTGGAACGGGGCAGGCCGTGACACCGCGGGCTCAGCCCCGGGGAAAGGCGGCGCGCCGGGGACCCGAGCATCCCGCGGCGGCCGGGCGGGGCTCCCCGGGCCGGGCCCCCGGCACCGCCCGGGCGGGGCGGGGCGTTCCCGGCGCCGCTTCCGCCTGTGCCGGCCGGGCGGGCGGCGCGGCGGGGGCAGCGGCAGGATGCTGAGCCCGCGGGAGCGCGGCGCCGACCTGGCCCGCTTCTACACCGTGACGGAGCCGCGCCGCCACCCCCGCGGCCACACCGTCTACAAGGTCACGGCGCGGGTGAGTCGGCGGCCGCCGCCCAGCCCCTCGCCCCCGCGGCTCCCCGCGCCCGGCCTGCCCCGCGTCCGGGCTGTGAAGCCGCCGCTGGGTGCGGGACAGCGCCCGCCGGGCCCGGCCGCGCCGTGGAAGCAGCCGCTGTGCGGGACACGGGTGGGAGACAGGGAGGGTGCGTGGGTGGAACACGGCGGCCCCTCCCGAGCCGAGCCCCGGCCGCCGCCCGCAAACTTGTAGCCTCGCAACGTTGTAATGGCCTCAGACGCGCTTTGCAATTAACTCCCGATTTCCTTGCTGCGCGTTGCAGGGCATGCGGGAGTAGCTCAAAAACGATCAGCTCCTTCTCTGTCCCCTTGCTTTGCTCCCCAGAAGGTGCCGTGGGTGGGTTGCGGAGGGTCGGCCGGCGTTCTGGCAGCCCCGCAGCGGCGCGCTGGGGAGGAGCGGCGGGGCGCGGGGCTCCGCGCGGCCCCCGGCTGCCGGAGCCGCCGAGCCGCGCACCGAGCCCGGGAGCGCCCGGGAGCGCCCAGCCCGGGCGGGCGGAGCGCTCGGGTCGCTCGGGCCTAGCGCGGCAGGCAGGAGAGCTGCTGCGGTGCTGGCTTGGATGAAAGCTCCGGCTCTTCTCTTAGGGAAATTCCTTGCTTTCTTTTCTCTTCCACTCTCCTATTAAACCAAAAAAAGAAAGTTAAATCAATACGTGGAGATAGGTTCAAAAGGAGTGGCAGTTTAGCTCGCAGGTGTGGTGGATATATTGAGAGCATCAGAAGGTGTCACAGAGAGAGAGTTTCTTTAAATGACCCGTGATCTCGTAGTTACTGCAGCTGTAGACATCGTGCCTGTGAGAGCAAGGTATGCTTATAAGCACCCTCCTCTTAATTCAAAGAATACAACATTTTGTATATGTATACAGATTGTAATGTCAGGGGTTGTTAGCCTATGATCAGTTTGTATGACTTGTAAAATTAAAAAAATTGGTTTTGGTCATCTATCTCTCCAAGTTTGCCAAACACAAATATGTTTAAACTGTTCTTTTTAGTCTAATACAACTTAGTATTTGTGAAGAGGAAAAAGAGTTGCTTTTTTCTATGGTGTTGCAATTTAAAAAGCCTTTCTTGAAATAAATGCAGAGAGGAAAACAGTACCATCACATTTTTCTGCAGTTGCTCTTGATGGTCCAAGTGTGTGTACGTGTGTACTAAAAAGTTGTGTCAGTGAAATAAGGACTAATAGAAATGAGCCAAGACTACTGCTGCTTATTTTGCTCTGGTGCTTTGTACTTATTGGCTAAAGCCAGATAAATTTCTCTGTGGCATTTTGATTTCTGTAGAATTGTTCAAAATCAAGTTGTGATTGACTAGTTAGGAATGTCATTCTCTCTCCTTGTCTCACAAACTGTGGGTGCTCTGGTGCCTTTCCAAGCGAGGCAGTGCAGAATCAGGTGGTGTGCTTGATTTAGCACAGAGCAAGGAGCTGATCAGTCTGTGAGCTGTCCAAATTCAACTGACCTAACCAGAGATTATTAATTCTTTACAGTGTTTTGATAGCTAAAATCCTCAAAGTGAAAAATTATTTCATCTTTTTGCAGTAAAGGATTTTTTGGACTCCCAAGTGCCAAAATATAAATAACTTTTGTTTCAGCAGGGCTCTGTCTGGTAATCTGTTGTGCAGTACTTGAAATGAGGATTTGGGAAATTGAATGAAATTATTTAAAAAGGATTTAGTGTACATATCAAGTACCCTTTCTGTTTCTTTCCTCCTATTCCTCTCTCCCGTTCCTGCAGTGATCTGGCTCCATGGTTGATATCACAGCACTCCAGCTGTATTTGTTGAGCATCAGCTCAGCAATTTTGGGGAGCCGCCAGGAAAAAAGTGAGGTGGACCTTCCCGTTGTGTTGAATATCATCCTAGCTGGGATCTAGAGTAGTCAGTATGTTTTAGTGGAGATTTGGGGCTTCTTAGTGCAGTATGTGAATGAATCCTTTGTGAAATTAAATTAAAGGAACTTTTCTGTTGCAATGTAATGTAGATGAATAGTCATGGATAAGAAAGCACTTGTTTAGTGTGTCCTAAACATCTGTCCCAAGGCATAACTACCCATGCAGTCTCTTCTGAGTGCTAAGGGGGTCTATCATTATTGCAGCTCTTTTCTTACAAGTTTTGTTTGTATAGCAGAGAATATATATTTTATTTACTCATAAACTGTAACATAATTGTAAACGCAGACAAGGTTAAATGAATATCGGCTTTTTAATACCCATTTCCAAATGCAAAGAAACAGATAGATACTAGCAGGTTATGATATGAAGAGTGTTCTGTGACAATACCAGAAAATATAGGGCACTAGTAAAAGTTTAGAGAATTTGGAAGATTACAATTATTAATGATAATTAAACTCTAATGAGTTATGTTGGATATCTGCATGTCAGATGAAGAATGGGATAATCTGAAGTACTTTTCTTGACGTTGAGGATCCTTGTAGGATCTCTGTTTTCAGAGTCTAGTGCAGTAATTACGCATTGCTTAGCTCATTGGTGGGTATCCTAATGATATTTTTGAAAATAGGTTATAGTTGCTTGTGTTACAGATTGGCAGAAGGAACTGACTGCATTGATCCTTGGGGAAGGATTAAAAAAAGTAAATGGAAAATTTAGGGGTTTGGGTCATCTTTGCCAAGTCTCTAGGTTGACTATAGATTGGGAGGAAGGGGCAGACCTCTTGTGAGGTTGACCTTCAGAAAAGGATATAAAGAACAAAATAGGACAACACATAAATTATTACATACTGACTTAAAGTTGGCATGGCTGGGAGATATAGAAGGTGGTGTAACATAAGAACAAGTGTGAAACAGGGCCTCTGGGTTTTATTCCAGATTCTTACTAACTGGCTGGGTAATTACTCATCTCTCTGGGTCTCCTTCTGCCCATCTGGTAACTTACCTAGCTGCCAAAACTGTTACAAGGCTTTAACTAAAGGTGAACTGCAAAGCAAAGCAGTTGGTGTCTGCCCTTTGGTGTTCTCTGTGATGTGTAGCCATGCAGTGGTATTTTCTTCCCCCAGCTCTACAGACTCCTTGCATCAAGTAAGCCAGCTATTAGAAAAGGACGTTAGGATTATTTCACCAATTTTATTTATAAACTGCCTGGTAGTGAATGAAAGAGCAACAGCCACCAAGGTTAACATGTGGTAAAGTTGCCAAATGTTAGATTACTCAAAAGTGAGGAGAAGTCAAGAAGGGTTTTATCAATATAGACTACGCTGGAAGAAGAGGACTTTGGTGTGCAAGGTGAGAAAGAGAACATGGAGCTATGAAGGAAAATGTTTCAAGCCTTTTGGGTGATTGCTGGAGAAGGAAACACTTCTCTTTTCCATCTTCTCTCCTCCAAAATGTGTGAGAGATGAGTGGCTGGGCTGTAGTAAACGGATGGTACAAGATCTGGGAGGCTTTGGCAAGGATTCTTGCGAAATGGAAGTGAGGAAGAGGGCTAAGCTTGTGGGAGATGTAAGAGGTATGCTGTTGTCACTGAGCAAGAGGAAAGTGTGGATTTGGTGTTTTCCATCTCGGAGCAGCAGCTGCGTGGCGCTTGCGGAGCGGCGGGGTGGTGTGTGAGTCTCTGGGGTGCAAGTGCTGTGGGCTCCCTGCGCTTCCTTGCACGCATCACCTCTTCAGGGCATCAATTATTCTGGGGTGTGTCGCCGAGGACAGTCCCAGTTGCATTAAGAATGCCCTATTTTGCTTTAGCTAACAATAGACTAATTATTTTGTTAAACAGCTTTGGCTCTTACGATGAAGGGCATACTGACTTGCAGTAGATAATTGCAGTTATGAATTAAAGATGTGTCTGTTTGGTTTGTATGTCTGTGGGGATATGCTCCTACTGCTCTTTATAAGACCTGTACAAAACTTGGATTACAAAGGCTTGTGTGATCGATATTTATTTAAAGGAAAAAAAAAAATCTTGACGAAATACAGGCTTCTTTATGGTGTGCAGCCAAGCCTGATTTTCACTGCAATTTTCCCCTGGACAAAGTCATTTATAATTAATTAGACCAAGAGTTTTTAAGGAGAAACAAATACACAAGGATAGTCAGACGTGTCTACGCTCTGGTGATTGTAAGTAAAGTGGAAATACTGTCTTACTAAATGCAAATCCTCACATTTTCAGTGAGGTTGTTTGCAGCTTATATTAAGCCAAATAGCCTTAGCGAGGTCTTCTTATTGGGAGTAACGTAGCCCTAATATGAATTAATAGGAAGAGGCTGGAAAGATGATACGAGGCGTGCTCTATGTAGCTTTATTTTGAGAGATGCCTTTTGTGCCATTCTGCCTAGAATGTATGACTGTCTATGTGTGACCACGACTGACTGCTGCTGAAATCCCTCACTGAGTTGTCTTTGGGTATTTGAGTTCTCTAAAACTAAATCAAAACTTCCTGAGTGCACAGGACCATGCAGCTGTTTGCCTTTTCCCAGACTTTTCTCTTCAGCAACAAATCATTGTATGTTACTCTTTAAGTTCCAAATTGAAAATCCAAGGACTTAACGTGGTTTTGTTTTTGTTTTGCCTTTCAGATTGTTTCAAGAAAAAATCCAGAGGATGTCCAGGAGGTAACAGTTTAAACTTGTGCAAATGTCTTTATGAATCACACTATGCCTTTTAAAGCATCTTTGATGTAATTTAGCAGTTTCTGTGTGTTTTGTCCTTGTAATTGAGCCAACAATTTTCGTATGTTTCCATTTGTCTTTAGCTTTCATAGTTAAAAACAGTAGCTAGTGT